GAATTATATAAATAATTTTAAAACACGGCCATTTAAAACCCGAGGGTCTACCATGTGCATAGTAAAGCGATCACTGCAGACAATCCTTTTGGGTGGGAATGAATGTAAACACAGATATCGGATACCAGTCGTGTCAAAAGTGAATGTAAAAAGACGTGCCAAAAAACGGATATGGTCAAAAGATCGGATCTGTGCATTAAGACTTGCAGTGTAAACGCAGCCTTATTGTCAGTTGATTTGGTTCAAATTGAAACTGAAATAAGCCTGGCTTTTTTGGTAAACTTGTTTTATGAAACAGCCCCCTGGTGTCCATGTTCAGTTGTTATTTCTACTGCAGATAATAACAATTTTCTTATCACATATTCTGCAATTTCTAAAAACCTGTGCAACATGTTCATTAAAAATTTAACTATATCACTACATGATTTTGGTATTATTAATTATTATTAATAATATTTTTAACAACATCAGTTTTCCACAATATTTCTTGAATGCAGAATCAAATAAAAAATCACTGTTGTACTTATTTTGTCTTTTGGGAAACGTGCAAGTATTAGCTTCTTGAAGGGCAGTGCTAAATGAACGAAAGTTTGCACCCCCTGGTCTTAATGCATTGTGTTTCGTTCTTGAACATCAGCAAATGTTTTCACCTTTTGTAATAGTTGTGTTTGAGTCCCTCAAGTTGCCCTCACTCTGAAAAGATGGATCTCAAAATCATACAGTCATTGTTGGAAAGCTGTTAAATATGCATGAGATGCTGGAAAACCTGAGAATGTGCTAGACCTGGAGGATTTTTCTGAAGAACAGTGGACAGTTGAACTGCTCGGGACTCTTGAACAACTATCACAAAACATGAAAACAGTTGTGGATCCAGGTAAAGACAGACAAGTTCAGATTCAACGCATGTAAATCTGTATGTTAAGCTTTGAATGGGGCAATTTTTATAAATTCAGTTTTTTTTTTGTCTTGTGGAGTATATGTAAACATCTGTTATGAGATGTAGCTTATTCAGGACAATACTAAATAAAAACAACATGACATTTTTATGATCCCTCTTTTGTTAAAATTTAAAATATTTTTGCTTATTCTGCAAACTTAGTCAGAGAATCACCAATTGCTGTTTACATTAATTGTCCATTACAGTTTACATTAATGTATAAATGAAGAAAAAAAAAACAAAGTAACCACTTTGGTAATCTAAAAAAAAAAAGCTTTTTGGATGTAACTGTAATTTGATTGCCACCTATTTAAAATTTGAAACAGTTACTCATATTTTGAAATTTAAATTGCGTAACTAAGTTTCACGTTTTCAGTAATTCCCCAACCCTAATTATGAGTTCTGCATTGTTTCATTACTGTACGTCACTGGCTCATATTAACAAGCATGCTTGTATTAGCAAGTGAGCATGAGCCACATTTGATTACATTTTATGAAACGTAAATGATATTTTCTCATCAAAAATCTTCTCCCCCAAATATTATGTCACATACCAGCCTACTTCATACATTAATTATGTGGTTTGCTACATTAAAGCACATGGAAGAAAAAAAAACTTTAATATTGTAATTTTAAGGAAATGGGTATAATATCGTATGACACGTTATCTTGCTGTTATACAGCCACGCAAAAATAAAATATCCAGTTAAATGAGTAGTTGCATCTGTATGCAGCTTCTCATATTTTCGAAATTAATAAATACGCGGCCGATCTTTCGATCTGCATAAAAATTACAGCTGAACACGGACACTAGTTAAGTAGTTAAAAACGTTTCTCCCATTACTACTTGCCAGTGGCCGAATTTGTTTTAAAATAAACTGATTCATGATACAGGGAGCAAAATGAGACGCACCTTTTGTGTGTGAGGATGCGTTTTACTCACAAACAATACCGTTCACAAAGGTTAAGTAAAAAATATTGTTACTTTCAATAATAAAAATTAATTTTACACCGAATGTAAAATATATACGACTGACTGAACGGTTTGTATCATTTGAAACACCTTGCATGCGTTAAAACACAAACCTTTTTTTTCAGCAGAATGATGCGGGACCGCGGTGCAGCCTTATGACGTCATGTCGCCTGTCCAAAATAAAAGTTCTGTTCACAACGCCACTGGCGCTGTCCCAAATCGCACCCTAAGGCCCTGTCCCAAATGGAAGATTTCATGTGCACTTGCGGTCTTACAATGGCCGCCGTGTGCGCGTGTCCACGAGACCGTAGGCGTCCCATTCGTCATTTTAACGTTCAGAAGGGTGCTCGCGAGCGCCCCCGATGCGCCCTCAATGCGCACTTCTGCCGAGCCCGTTCGCGAGCACCCTTGTGAAAGCTAAAATGACGAATGGGACACGCTACGCCTACGAGAGCCGTGGACTTAACGGACAATAGCGCACGCAGCGGCCATTGTAAGACCGCAAATGCACAAGTGTGCCATTTGGGACATGACCACTGTCAAAAAAGTGAATAGAAATACACATACAAAATATAATAAGTAAAATGTCAGGGGAATTCAAAGTGTATTTATTGGTGAAATGCCTATTTTGTCCAGTGATGTTCTGAAAATATAAATACTACCAGTGGAAGAGTGTGACATTCTGTTCTTTAAAGACAAAGCTGTAATGTTTCACTGCAGAAATCATTCCAGGGCTCATGGGTCTTTTCTCACAGCCATTTTCCCCCCATCAGTTTAGTTTGACATATTTCCACTAGATCCATAGCAAAAACTGTTTACTACTGTACAAAAAAAACAAAAAACAGGTTTGCCAATAAAATAGTATTAGGCTATTTTAAAAACAAATATGCAACAGTGGTAACGTGTTGAAGTAGGTTATTAATGCACAGTTCATACAAAGTTTGGAAAATGCTCGATGATATCCGCAACAAGGTTGGAAATGTGCTTGAATTTTTTAAATTGTCCTTGTCAAATTTCCTTTTTTTTTTTTAGAATGCCCAGTGTGAAGTATATATATCTCCAAACAGTACCGCCGCTCCCTATACGCAGAGTACGCAGTTTGCGTAGGGCACCAACTCCCCGGGGGGCACCATCCTAGTTGCTCAAAAAAAACAAAAAAAACTTCCCTTTTTTTTCTTTTGTTCTATTTATTAGGGCCCGAGCACCGATGGTGTGAGGACCCTATTGGA